CAGTACATAATGATTATCATTATCATTATTATGAGTCATCCATTTTTTTTTTCATCATTTTCACGAGCGTTCAAACCGTGCGCGGGGGGGGGGGAGGTTTAAACCCAAGCTTTCAAAATAGTAACGGAAATAACGACGATTTTCAAGCTGTATCGCCCGGCCATCTCTCGGCGCGTTTTTTCACACCTATCGATGTACACACGACTTGCCGTGTTTTTGTTCACTAAGTCACAGATTAAATTTTATTAGACTCCCTGTCCAAGGTAATTAATTTCTCATTTCAGCTTGTACTCTTTCAGGGGGGGGGGGGGTCAGGAAAAAAAAGAGTACTCTTTGTAGGCTTTTGAAAATGAACAAAAGATGGATGACCCCAAAATGTCCTGTTATTTACATATTTGATCTAAAAAAACTAAGCAAATGCAAGTAGCTGTGATGGTGAACTGATAGCAAAAAGCACGACACACATCATTTCCGATTGAATAGCGGAATCAGAACCATTATAATAGCGGAATCAGAACCATTATCAGTGTCCATGCTGACGCCTCTCTGTGCACAGGGTATGCGAGGAGGAGGTTCACGCTGGCTCGTCGTCGGAAGTCGGATTCCATTCCTGCTTCTGTGTTGATTTTGGGAATTCGATTTTGTGATTATGGTTATGGCTTTATTTTCACACATTTTAGGAACAGAAAAAAGTGCAATTTAACGGCAAGAGCCGAGGGTGAAAAGAAAAATGTAAAAAAATGATACAGTAGGTTTGTTAATTTTGAACGCATCACTACCTAATATCAGTTTATGTTTGCTTTCTTTGTATTTAGCTTGTAATTAGCTCTTTTATATCACTCCTAGTCTAATATCAGAGAAAATCGTACAATACTCTTTATGTTTCCCTTCTGATTTTCCTTCTTATTAAAAGTAACATGACTGTGTTCGCGTATGCCTGGCATTGCTGCTATGTGCATTTGGCTTTTTAAAGTGATGCACATTTTTGGCACAGTACGTTTTTGGGGAGATTGTTCCATATTTCAACAGTTCTCTTTGGTAAACTTTTTTTTTTTTTTTTTTTTTTACATCTTTATTACCTCTTTTTGCTTTCAGCTTTTTGTTGTGTCCTCTCGTCCTTAAAAAATCATCTTTATCTAACTTCCTGTATCTTCCTGTGATACAGTCATTCATTCCTTCTCTCTTTCAAAGTAGTAAATCCTAATTTCTGTAGCCTATCTTCGCAACTCATATCTCTTAGAGTAGGTGTTCATCTTGTGACCGCCCTTTGAACTCTTTCCAGTTTGTCTATATAAGTTTGTGAGATATGATCTACTTTTTCTGCAGCTACCCTGATGCGATCTACCAGCCTAAGATTCAAACTTATAAATAATTGTATGTTGTTCAGACATATCCATCATTATAAATGTAAATATAATTTTTTCAGAAAAAAAGCGAAATATAATAATCCAAGTATCATGAGTACTTCGATATGCTATTGCAGCTATTTGCATGGCAACTTCTGAAGGACGAATTATTAACAGGTACAGTAGTGTGATCGACTTAAACAGGCTTGTGACTGACCAATCCATCGCGATCGACTGGTGGCCATTTGGTCTATATTATTTTTTTAAGTGGACTCCATGCCACTGCACCGTACTCAACACTTGGTCTTATGATATTATGATTTTTCCATTTTTTTCGTCCACATACACGAATCCCCTCTTCATGTTGGCATTCTGTGGACCTTTTCATTTATATAATCATTTAGGCTTGTAGGTTTCTGTTTATGATTACCCCAAGATCTTTTTCCCTGCCAGCTGTATTTAATATTGCGTTCCCTCATTTATATTGAAACAGTGGACGATTTCTACTTTTCCGAACCTGACAACGTGGCATTCATTGGTATTGAAGTACAACTTCTCGATGTACTTTAGCATGAGACGTTACCTGTAGGCATTAGCATGAACCGTTGTCTAATTTAGCTTTTTTGTATCTCCGCGTTGTCTGCAAACATATTCAGATAATTACTTATGTTTGACTCTAAATCATAGACGAAAATAGTAAACAAATCTCGCGCCACGCAACCGATCCTTGGTTACTCGTTGCCATGTAGAATGCTTCCCTCTCATCACTGTGCTCATCTGTCTTTCATGAACAAAGTCTTTCATCCATGCGAGTAGTTCGCCTTTCACTCCACCTAGGTGCTCTAATTGCCATGGTTGTCTACTATGAGACACCTTATCCAAAGCTTTTTTGAAGTCCAAGTACAAACAATCCACTCATCGTCTCTTTCTTGTAATATTTCAAAAACTCATAAAAACAGAGGAGATTTGTTACACACGACCTTCCTTCTATAAAACCAAATTGTTTATTTGATATCATTTCGTGTATTTCAAGTACTTCAACCCATTGTTTCCTAATTATCCTTTCTAACAATTTGCACGCTACACTAGTTAACGAAACTGGTCTATAATTTAGAGGGTTTTGGTTGTCGCCGCTCTTATATAAGGGTGTGACCTTGGCGAGTTTCCAACTTTTTGTTAGTTACCTTGTCTCACTCAATATCAGCAATAAAGGATTACAGTGAACCCTCGTTTTTCGCGGGGGCTACGTTCCAAAAAGAACCCGTGAT